ACTATGGTGTATGTATACAAGTAATACCAGTATATCATAGCTCTTTAATTATGTAAAGGCCCGTTCATACTAAGAACGATAAACTAGCGTCTATCGATATCTTGCCGTTTATGTGTCACTTTAAATGCTCGAGCTCGTTGCAGCAGGATGGATTCTGATTGGCTGTCGATGGCCGGATAAAATCGTTCTGATAGTGTTTCCAAATATATCGTTTCTCCGTTATCGTTATAGCTGTGGTGTGATGTATTCTTTAATATTATCTGTTATCGTCTAGGCGCTATCAGGTGCAGAAAAAAATCTGCTTGTTCAATGTTAGTTAAAAAAAGTACTATAGTATTAGCAGTATATCATAGCTCTTTATTATGTAGCCTACTCCGTTATAGCTGTAGTGCTATTCTTTAATATTATTATCTTTATAGTTGTCCTTGGTGTGAACGGGCCTTCATAGCATTCTTTAGTGATCATCCCTCCAGTTTTTCGCGAATACAGCGCAAAATAAACAAATTCTTGCATTTTGAGAACTTTTTACTGATATTAGGCAATTTCTTATTGCTTGTAAGATTTTGGTCATAATTCCCACCTTAAGTGGTCATGTTATTAAAGCTAGATAGCACACCAATGGAATAGCCTTTTTAGTTAGATACTAAAAAAACAAGATTTGTCCATTTTGTTTGTTCTATTGTCATAAATCCTGAAAGGAACTGATATTCTACTTCCTGAGGTAAAATATAAAGGATTTTAACATAAGTGTTTCCTTTTTTTTCTTTAGCACACTACCAGCATCATTGGTTCCCCGACAGGCCGCAGAAGGGCTCCGGTTACCGTTGCATACGGATCAATCACGAAATGGACCCTCTGATTGGCCGAGCGGCCAACCGTATCGGACTGACCAGCGGGCAGCTTTTCTCGCTCCTGCCGCGGGAGCTGACGCTCTGGGTGGACCCGTACGAAGTGTCCTACCGCATCGGCGAGGACGGGTCCATTTGCGTTCTCTACGAGGCGGAGCCTCCCGTCTCAAGCCCCGCCCCTAGCATCTCAGCGTACGACCAAACGGCGAGCTGCAAATACCGCTTCACGTTGGGCGGCCGCACGAGTCCTCCCAAAAACCTCCTGATGATGGTGTCCAGCTGAGCGCACGGGACCGGTTCTGCCCGAACTCGCGCCTGACCGACCAACTGCCACGCTAAGAGCCGGAGCTGTTCCCGTGACTTCACTTCGTAAACCTTTATTTAAGATGAACGTTAAAGCACTGGTTGTTACGCGGCCGCTGGACCACCGACTCTGGAGACCTATTAGCACTGTTCTGTGTGACTCGTTTATTTTGATCATCCCGAAACCGGTTTTGGGGTGTTTTCACTGGTGCTCACGCACAGTTTCAGTGCAACTACGATACCTCAGTCATGAGAATGTTACGCAATTACAGGCCTGAAACATACTTTACGCAAGTTCGCAAATGTTTTAAGTTTAACAAGCGTACAATGTTTTCAAACAACCATATAAAACCTACTGGCCTTTAATGCTTCAGTTTGTTATAGCGCCATCTGTGGCGACTCTGAGAATGCGACATTGTTCTACAACGTATTTGCATTCGCATGCTTGCGTACAGTACGTTTCAGGCCTAAAACTGCTGTGGACTTTAATAATTCCTAACAGGAGCTGCTATTGAGCGTGGCGCCACTTAAACAAACTCCCATAATCCCCTCTGCCTTAACCACAGCGCCACCGCTCCCTAAATAAACGTCACTGCCTGGCTCTTTTAGTCTTACTGTGCAATATTCAGGCAATAACTTCCTCTTGTGATGGCATGAAATGAGTTTTGTGGATTTGGGGGAAATTATTGTATTTACCCAGAATGCTTTGCATGTGGTATGTTGGTTGGTATCAGGCGGAAGCGCCAGCAGAGACTCGCATCAAGCATTCTGTCTCTCTCGGGCTGCTGAGCAGCGCGTTTACTGTTTCAGACAGAGCTAATGTAGTTTGTAAGCTATTTTAAAGCAGAGTTGCTTTTAATGTACACTTTTATAAATGCATTTGTGCATAAAGTCGGTTTTTATTACAATAAACCTTTTGTGAATGAAGTGTTTCTCTGTGGTCTGATGTTATTATGCTGTTGTAATGAGGTTTCAGCTCTCTGAGGTGTGTCGTTCGGTGGGCAGGTGTGTGTGTGTGTGTTATCTGGATGCGTCTGGGCTCGTTTTTCTCCTACACACACACACACACACACTGAAAGACGTCAGATAGTCTTATCAGCAGCCTGTGCTAAGAGATTAACTGTGAGCCGGCCTGATTAGACAACGTTTAACTGAAGGTTGCTAACCGCCAAATTGATAAATTCATTTAAAAATAGACTTTTACCCAATATTTGTGTTTTATTAGAGAATTAGCATAGCAAAATGTAAACATCAAACTATTGGAATCACTCAAGAGTTGAATCATTACTTTAGCTACATGCTAACATCAAACTATTGAAATCAACTGTGAGCAACATGCTAATGAAGAA